ATAATATGTTCTAGATCAGATACGTGTTATTGTGATAACACAATTTGTACACAATATGTTCTATGTCATTAACAAATACATTGTTGTTATTGAGATTATATCACTTATCCACAATAATATGTTCTAGATCAGATACGTGTTATTGTGATAACACAATTTGTACATAATATGTTCTATGTCATTAACAAATACATTGTTGTTATTGAGATTATATCACTTATCCACAATAATATGTTCTAGATCAGATACGTGTTATTGTGATAACACAATTTGTACACAATATGTTCTATGTCATTAACAAATACATTGTTGTTATTGTGATCATATATCACTTATCCACAATAATATGTTCTATGTCATTAACAAATACATTGTTGTTATTGTGATTATATATCACTTATCCACAATAATATGTTCTAGATCAGATACATGTGTGATTTTGTAACTTGAAGCTATCTTATGTCTTCAGTAGAAACAATAAATTACAATAATCTATTTCTTCTACTTCTCAAAACCTTTTGCTTATCCTTCTATATAATATATTATTAATACAATATAATTAGGATACAAAATTTCAATGTTTCTAATGTTAAACTCTGCTAGGTTCTGTAACTCAAATACTCTTATTGTAGAACTTCTATTTCTTGTACAATCTCTTGAAGAACAGAAAATAACAAAAAAAGTATTCTTGAAACCTAATATTATTTTCACCAATAAATTCCACAACAGCAAGACAGATAGAGGATATGAGAGTGACACTTGTTAACATGTTTACTTAAACAGAACTCACCACACAATTAAGAGTTTGAAATCACTGTTTCTCCAGCTTCTTCTTTTGATGTTGTGATGATGTGTTTGTGGTTGGATCCTTCTTCAGGATTCAACATGAAACCCAAAACATCATCATCTCAAAATCAAAAGATGAAGCAAGGGAAGTCTATAAGAAATGTTACCAATTTATTCACTCTATCAAATATACTTCTAAGCCAAATTAGAAACATGTCATTTTTGAAGTTAGATTTTGCATAGCAATAATTACTTTTGTATACAGCAAACACATAAATGTACAGAGTATTTCATCTAGTTCAAATAAACCTTACCTCTTGTCGAGTATTGCTGTAGACAGCATTTCTAAATAAAAATGACAAAATAAATCACTATATATATAAAACTTATCGTCAAAATTATTTTCAACTAACAGTTGAAATATTATAAGGAATTCCAATGTTTTGAAACATATGAATTTAGTTTAAGTATATTCTCCATGAAATAACAGAAATACCTTATTCCTAACACTGTGATATGATCTTTATTAAAAGAGAATGTGATAACAACCAAACAAGAGATATAAAATTAAGTGATATAGTACACAAAATTTCAAATACTCAAAATAATTACAATAAAAAATATTTGAGAGGTATTAAGAAAATTAAACTAAAAAATACAATAATCAACATACTGTACACCTGGCCCTTGGTTTCCTGTTTGAAGTTTCTGACCATCAACTTCACTGTTGGGGAAAAAAATGCTTAGAAAGTTCCAGAAATTTAAACAACAAATATTTACAAGAAAAAAAAAGTTATGTGAAGTTCAATAATAAAAACTGTTTAGAAGGCTATCAATAAAAGTAATAAAATAAAGCAAGTTACAAGTCTGCATACATGTAAAACAATTCAGGGCAAATATATCATGTACACATGTTATGATGAAGAAAAACAAAAAACTTCAAAGAAAAAAATATTTATGTGATTAAATGAGCTCTGTATATACCACCAGGATAAAACCTATCTGATATGAAATATTCATTTTCTTTGAAAATTAATTTCTTACTTAAGCTATAATTTTTTTCTTCAAATTTCATTATAGGTTTACAGTATTGAAATATTCATGAACAAAACAAATTAGTAAGTTTATTTTACTAGAGCCTGAAAATGTCTATCTAACATATTCAATATAAAAAAAATCGTATTTCATTTTACAAAAATAAAATTAAGGAATACATGACTACAATTTTACATTTATAAATTCCTACATAGAAGTTTGTATTATGGGCTCAGTTTATTAGGATATTAAGGTTATATCCAGATCAGAAGCAAATTGTAAGAATACTTAATATGTTTTTTGTTTGTTTTTGAATTTCGCGCAAAGCTACACGAGGGCTATCTGTGCTCGCCGTCCCTAATTTAGCAGTGTAAGACTAGAGGGAAGGCAGCTAGTCATCACCACCCACCGCCAACTCTTGGGCTACTTTTTTTTACGAACGAATAGTGGGATTGACCGTCACATATAATGCCCCCACGGCTGAAAAGGTGAGCATGTTTGGTGGGACAGGGAATCGAACCCGCGACCCTCAGATCGCGAGTCGAGAGCCTTATCCACCTGGCCATGCCGGGCCCTACTTAATATGTAAATGTGTTTAATGTTGTTTATAAAATAGAATTCAAATATGAAATTAAAGATTGAATGTGACACTTCTTACTTGTTGGTTTTTTGCTGGAAAATGAAACTGATGTTGTTGGGCGCACATCTTCCAAACATATTTGGCACTATCAACATCCTCCTGTTTAAAATAAAAGAATAATAGAAATATTTTTTATATTTACAATAAACATGGAAGACTGGTTAAGCAAAATAAAAACAGCTAGATGAATGAAAAAACAGCAACACTGAAATAGTTACATAGAATGACAACAGGAGAAGCAAAAAAAATAATTTTTTAATTGAAAAACTTCTAAAAAAATAAAAATATACAGTTCTATAATATGTGTGAAGTTTGAAGTAACACTGGATAGGTTAGTTAAAGCAAAAATAAATTGGATAACATACGAAAAAAAAATCCTCTTAAAAATGTTCATATTGTTTTTGATTTTTTCTTTAACATTTACTTTGTAGTTGTGTGCATATATTATATTTTTATGCATTCTCATGTCTGGTTTAGTTTTGTATGCTTTTTAGACAAACTTATGAGAGTTATTTCAAATACCATATACACACACACACACCATAGTAACGTGTCAGTATTTTAAATTATCTTTTGGTCCCCCATGGAAAAAATTTTATCACAGAAAATATTTATAGACCATCCCTCAGATTTAAGAAACAGTCATATATCACAGAATCTTGCAAACATTTCAAAGTCCACCTATTATTTTAACCTCAGCAGCAGGCTAAAACTAACTAGCTTTTTTGTTGCCATGTTTAAAGATAAACAACTCTTTCAGTGCCATGTTCATTCTTCATGCACAATGAAAAACAAACAAAAAAGTTTTAATATTTTATTAATTATCCAAAACTAGTCAACTTTGGGAATATCCTTTCTTCATGGAGGTAGAAAATTCCAAACTCACACACGGTTAATTTCACACTTTTTAAAGTTAAAATAAAGGTCATGTATTGTGTCCCATATGTGTCTGTTATAGTGCTCTAGAGGAGAGATGTACATGTGCCCATGACAACAAAAGAATTTCAGATACTGTTCACTTGTAAATGATCCTATAGGGAAATCTGTAAGTTTGTCAATACAATTTTTTTTTCACTTCTAGCAGTTCTAAAACATTATCTACTGTCCAAAACCTCATAAATATACAGGAATAAATAAGTAATATAAAAAGTTAGCAGTAGCTAATTGGTCGCACAATATTTTTTCTAGATGGGTAAACCATGAAACACATTTTAAAATAGTTCTAAAAAGAAATAGTAACAAAGCAGCTTGTTTCACTTCTAGAGACCAACAACTATCAGCCAATGCACCGAGATATAAATGCAAATAAATAACAATAGACAGATAGCTACAACAATAGTGGCAAAAAGTTGAAACATCAGTGAATAAACATCCACACAAAAACTAAGTAATTTGTTTACAAGTTATTTAAAAAGTTTAACACATCCACGAATTATTAAACTTCTACATTTAATTGTAAGTTGTTGTTTATTGTGAGAGCAACTGGCTAGCATTTTAATGAAATCACAGAATGTTAAGAAAAACATATAGTAATTTGTCAATTAAATCTTACCAATCACTTCATGACATAGTATCTTGCTTAGTTATCTTTCTGCCTTGTATATTATTAGCTGACGGAATGTAAAATAGAAAACTTATTACCCTGAAAACAATCATCTTAAATTATAAGACTTTATGTTGTACTCCTTACCAACTGAAGAGGAAAAGTTCTTTGTTTCACATGGCACTCTATGATAAATACTTTTTTATTCAGACTCAGGTTGGTAATCTCATTCCATCTAAAAACCAGAAAACAAATACATCAAATGTAAGAAAACATTGACATAATAAGAAAAACAAGTTCAGATTACAGCTTGAGGATAAGCAGTAGTTACATTTTGATGGTATAATGTTGGCTTCTGATTTGTAATTATAAAAGTTTCACAAATTTTTTGCTGCTCTTTATTTTGTTAGACTAACTGTCATAAAGTTTAAAAAGATATAAATTCAGTCTGTTGAATTTTCTTAAGTATTTGAATAAGTAACCGAATACAAGACGTACAGTTAGGCATAACCAAAAATGTAGATTCACCATTTTTAGATATTTTAGTATATAATTAGCAGTTGAAATTGGCAAACTTAATGCTCATTTTTACAGTTAAATTTGGTAAAAGTGCTTATAGGATAAAATGCAGGTATTCAATACTGCATGATGAGATAGCTTCTAATGAGTTTGATAGTAATTTGAATAATAATAATATCAGTAAATTGTTAACTATAACGACTTCCCCTAAATTTTCAAGTTGGATGTATAAAAAAAAATCAATAACTATTTTCAGCCTTCAATGGAGTTGATCTAAAGACAGAAATCTAATGCATATTTAAGTCTGTTAAAAATGAAAACATTTTAAAATTTTTATAAGGAAGTGACACCTACAAATCTACATGTCCTGCTTGTGTGGAGAAATGTTTGGGCTCTACCCACCAGATGGCTGTTGACTTTAACTCTTTCAGCACGGGGTCAGTCTTAGGACTGACCTCATAACCATTTTGTGCTTGTTATAGTTTTCATGCTATAACTTTTAAATTAGTAAGCGTATCTTCATGAAATTTGGCAGATTATCAGTAAACATTACAATTCTTTTAAATGCAAAATATCAATTTTTTTATTAAGTTATAAGGTTTGTAAAGCACTGTGTTTCTCATACCTTTTTTTTTCTTTTTAGCATGTTGTCTATCCAACATGCAAAGTAATTTTCATTTTAAGATTAAACATACTTTTATGCATCAGAAAAGTTTCAAATTTCACATGCAAAATCTTTACAGTGTCCAGATAATTATCAAACATTTCTTAAGAAAAGAACTTTATATTCTATCTGTTATTTTCAGTGACGAATCTCTGTACGGGTTTGGCAGATTTGACTGATTTCATAACCACCATAAAAAATTAGGAAATAAATAAAAATTATGTCTCTTTCATTCTAGAATGACAACAAATCATAACATGAACATAAATGTTTAGACTAAATATTTTAAATCTCATAACATTATACATTTATACGTATTTATTATTTCTATTATATTGACCTTTCAGCCATGCTTGGCTAACAATACAGATGTTACAATGACGCAGCACATGTGCTCTCATTTTACTGTATCTAATAACATAAAACAGACCTTTAGTCTTTACAAAATGACCTGTCTTGGCTGTGTTTTAGTAGACTAGTAAAAAAATAAGAAATAAATCTAAATTACCCTTTTTTCTTTCTAGAATGACTGCAAACTGTAACATGAAATTACAATTGTTTATCTTATATAGCTTAAAGCTCGTAATAATATACACCTGTTTATTCTTAATTTTAATGCTTTATTGTACTTTGAACAGTATCTAATTTATAATCCCACCACATAAGCTGCAAGTCACTCGGCAAATGTGCTCTTCTCATTACCTTATAGAATTATGTAATGCACGAGCTGCTCGCAAGCATGCCTTGTGCAGAATATATATATATATTTATTTTTTTTCATTATCTTACCTAATCTAATAAGTTACTAATGTTTAAATTTCAGTTACTTACCTGGGTCTTCTTTTCTTTTTTTTTGCTGGTAACTATCAATAAAACTTAAGCCTACTTCATACTAATTGTATTATTACACTAAATTTTTATTTAATTAAATACTGCACCTAAGGACACAGAATAACAACATACAAAGAAGCAAACAATGTCTTGTAACCATTATAATTTTTCTGGCTTTCTAACTATGCAATAAGAGTGTTTAAATATTCAGCTCAGCCTGTCAACATGACTCCCGTGAGTAAAAATTCAAAACTGAATAACGATATAGACAATGCCCTGTACGGAAAACAATGTGATATAGAAAACGTCATTTGAAAGATTAAAACCTTGCCTTCCTATTGGTTTTGAATAACATAGTATTAAATGTTAAAGGCTGTTTGTGAAAGAGAGGATGAGACAGGTGGGTGTGGCAAGTGGGTCTGATTTTCTAGTTTATAGCTCTGTAAACAAATAAGATTGAAGGCTATAAAAAATCATGCTTTGCCTGAGTAATATCCATACTTTAATGAGTAATTTATGTTAAATTCTGTACTTATTGAAGGGGTGGCAAATAAATTAAACAAGAAGGAAAACCTATAACACAAATGTCACAATCCTCATACTGTGGGTGATTGATGATTTTTTAAAGTATTTCTTTATGAAATTAAGAAATTAAAACTTATATAACATTAAAATTGATTTATTAAATACATATTGATGCTAAGTTTATGCAAATTTTGAATGTAACTCTCTAAAAAGTTGTGATATGTGCACTTTGACCTGAATGTAGTGAGAGGGTTAACTTGCCTAAATTTTTTTTTTCCAATATAAAATTGCACACTTATACCAACTAGTCATGATACATTAGGTTGGTTGGTAAGGAAGAATCCTTGTGGACATCATAGCAAATACTTGTTATTGTGCTGCCTTTGAACTATTTCTTATATCTTACTCATACTAATTCTGAAGGAGATAATTATGCAATATTGCCTTAAACTACAGTTTCCATAAGAAACATCTAAGAAGAGTGGCAACGTGAATTTTAGACCACGAGATGGAAGGCAATGTGAATCTTAGACCACAAAAAAAGATGGCAATGTGAGCCCTAGACCATCAAAACAATGGCAGTGTAAATCTTAGACCATAAGAAGGATGCCACTCTGAATCTTAGACCATGAAAAGGATGGAAATGTGAATCTTGGACCATACATTTCAACACAGACTTTCCCTTGTTCTTAGATGTCAGCATCAAAGACCACACATAAGCAGACCACAAATCTACACTGGAACTGCATCAAGGACTTGACAAGTATGCGACTGAATTAGATTGTTATGGTTCCAATACCAATGTTTTTGCCCCCTTTTTTAGGGTGGGTGAGTCCAGGATGTTCTCTTTAATAGACACAGCCTTCACTTTCCAGATGAAAGCAGTGGATTGGATTAGAATGGGGTATGGTTTTGATATTTGCTGCTACACTAACGACTTTGTTGTGAGAGTTTTTCCACACTATGGAGGACATTTTTGGCTCCTTTTACTTCAGAATATTGTGCCCTTTGACTGTATATTGTTAAATAATCCAATTGTATAATTTTTTATTTTTCTCTTAACATGAGTATACCTGAGGTAGCACTACACGGTCAAAAAGGTCAGGAATTATTATCAATCAAATTTACATAGATTCTAAGAATATCATTCATAGTGCTATAACTTACATCTGTGGTGACACACCACTTCATTAGTGTATATATACATTATCACCTGTTGATTTCAAGTTTGATTAATCCTCAGTTCACTTGTTTTCATCTTTGATGGTAGAAATTCTTTGCTGGTACATGATTATAACTAAGACTGTTTAGTTTAAATATTATTGATTAATTTAGTTTTGTGATTGAATGTTTTATCATTGTTTATTTTTTGTTATAATAAGAGTTAAAAGCAGATGATTATAGAAAGTTTTGTTAATAATCCATTGATGTTAAGAATATTGAACGTCACATGCAATATACTGATGTCGAGAATATAGAAGGCAGACAGACGATAAGGTAATAAAGATATATATTGCATGAGACAAATGGGAAGCAGCAGACAGACAGACAGAAGCAGACACATAATAGCAAAAGAGAATAAAGATGGTGTGAAGTTAACTACCGTAGAAGTGAGAGGCCTAATGATTGACATAGCCCAAACATTTAATACGTAAGAGTGAAACTAACAGTAGAGAAGAAGATAAGAAAAATAATTTCATTCCGTCAAAGCGTGGTTCTAAAGTAATTGAATCAGCCTGAGTGCACTTTGACAAAAGGAGCAGAGGATCTTCAAAAGAAAAAAGACCAAACAATTACTGTAACTCACGCTTCAATTGTAAGTGACTCACAGAGAATACTTAATTAATTTTGCGCAAAGCTACACGAGGGCTATCTGCGCTAGCTGTCCCTAATTTAGCAGTGTGAGACCAGAGGAAAGGCAGCTAGTCATCACCACCCACCATCAACTCATGGGCTACTCTTTTTACCAATGAATAGTGGGACTGACCGTCACATTATAATGCCCTCACGGCTGAAAGGCCAAGCATGTTTGGTGTGACGGGGATTCAAACCCGTGACCTTTAGATTGCGAGTCGAGCCCCCTAACCACCTGGCCATGCCGGGCCAAGCAACAAAGAAAATGACAGAATCACCAGTAACTTCCATTGGCCGGGAGTCATTGGAGATGTAAGTAGAATCTGTAGGTCATGTGACATCTGCCAAAGGACAATACCTAGAGAAAAGGTAGCCAAAGTGCCATTGGGAGAGATGCCTCTTATAGAAGAGCCATTCAGCAGAGTAGCTGTGGACTTGATTGGGCCACTAGCACCTGTGTCTGACAAGGGCAACTGGTATGTTCTGACAGTAGTCGACTGTGTGACATGTTATCCAGAAACAATAGCACCGGTGAAAATACAGACAGAGGGAGAGTAGTAGAAGCACTCCTGGAGATATTTTGCAGAGCAGGCTTTCCAAGAGAAATTCTGAGTGATAGAGGGACCCAGTTTACTTCAGAACTGATGCAGGAAGTGTGCAGACTCATCAGCACTTGGTAACTCTTTACCATCCCGTACAATCCTAAATGTAATGCACTTTGCAAGAGTGTCAATGGAGTTTTAAAAAGTATGCTAAAGAAGATGTGCCAAGAGAGACCACATGACTGGGACAGGTACTTGTAGGCAGTATTATTCGCTTATTGAGAAGTCCCACAAACAAGTACAGGATTTTCACCCTTCGAGTTACTGTATGGAAGAACAGTATGAGGTCTAATGCAAATATTGAAAGAGCTATGGACAGAAGAAGAAGAGTCAGAAGTAAGGAACACATACCAGTATGTGTCAGACCTCAGAAACTGACTGGAGGACACCTATCAACTTGCTCGACAGATTTTGTATGCAGCTCAAGGTAGTCAAAAGTACTTTTATGATAAGAAGGCCAAGGATCGACATTTTAAGATTGAACAAAGGGTCTTAGTTCTGCTGCCCACAGACCACAACAAACTCACCCTGCAATGGAAAGGACCTTCTGAAGTACAGAATGGAGTACAAGGTGAATGTGAAGACTAAGATCTACCACGCCAATCTGTTGAAGAAGGATTTGGGGAGAGAAGAAGACCTAACAGGTGCAGCTATTGAAACAAAGATGGATGTTGCAGGTGTGGCCATCATAGATGCAGAACCAGGGCACTGTGTCAAACTGACTGATAGGAAGAAGAATAAAAACTACTGTGTCAGCATACAGATATATTAGGAAATACAGACCTCAGACAACACAAGGTCAAGATGAAAGATCCTGTTAAGGAGAAGCCTTACTAGAGACCCTATGTTAGGAGAGACAAACAAAGGAACTGAAAATGTTAGATCAGTCTTTGTATATAGTAAAAAAAAATATTATAAATATTTTATCTTGAAGGGGGGTTTATGTCATGATATAAAAGACTGTTTCATTCCGATATTATTGATTAATTTATTTTTGTGAGTGAATGTTTTATTATTGTTTAGTTTTTGTTATAAGAGTTAAAAGCAGATGATTGTAGGAAGTTTTGTTAATAATTCATTGATGTTGAGAATATCAAACATCACATGCAATATACTGATGTTGAGAATATAGAAGGCAGACAGATGATTAGGTAATAAAGATATAAATTGCGTGAGACAAGTAGGAAGCAGCATACAGACAGAAGCAGACAGATAATAGCAAAAGAGAATAAAGTTGGTGTGAAGTTAACTACCATAGAAGTGATTGGCCTAATGACTGACACAGGCCTAACATTTAATATTTTAGAGTGAAACTAACAGTAGAAAAGAAGATAAGAAAAATAATTTTATTCCATCAAAGCGTGGTTCTAAAGTAATTGAATCAGCCTGAGTTCACTTTGACAAAAGGAGCAGAGGATCTTCAAAAGAAAGAAGACTAAATGATTACAGTAACTCACGCCCCAATTTAAGTGAATCACAGAGAGTACTAATGCGATAGAAATAGAAAAGATAGTTTGGCTTGTCAACTGAAATTCTAAAGTAATTGAATAGGCCTAAGTGGATATTTGACAAGAAGGAGAGAACTACATATATAGTATTTATGATATGTCCATAATATCTATAGTTTTGAAGAATTTATTGTACATACGTTAACTTGTTCTGAAGATATATATATATTATTTTGAAAAAAAGTGAAGTGTGTGTTGTTTCTTCATCGTTGAATTTATCACTAACAAGTCACAGACACCTACTGTAAAAGAATACGCAGCCCAACAACAACATAGTATATATTTACACTATTAAGAAATACAACTAAAAGCCTTTTTATTTTGACGAATCTGACAAATATCAAGTCAAAAATTTAAAAACTTACCTAAAACAATCAGCAGGCTGCAGGTTGTAACGCTTTATAAAGATACCTAATTTAGAAACTGCAATGTAAACATCTTCTCTGTTGTGATCCTGAAAAATTTACATAAGGCTTAAATGTCATGTTGGACAAAAACCAATACAGTGTACAAAATAATTGTTGTTTGAATGTTTAAAATTTAGTAGGTCATTAAGTCAATCAAATTACTGTAGTCTAATACAATAGTAAAAGAATAATAAACCTGTACATATAGCCTCACTGATTGGGAACAGGGGTTTCATTAAGAAAAAGTAATGTTTATTAAGTTTGTAAAAGTAATTCAAAATTACTGAAAAATTTCAAAATTACAGAAATGTTTATACAGAGTCAATATGTTTTACTGAGAAATCTTGCCTATAAATACTCATTTATAGTTATGTCAATCTATTTTCTTCATGTGTGAGGGCAAAACATTCCACCAACCCTTCAGTTTTGCATAATTTATACTCATATAGGGACATCCAACAAATATTGCTGGATGATTAGATAATACCCGTTCATAGTTGTTTTCCCCCAATTCCTATTTCCAGCTGAACAATGAATGAAATCATATGTATTTATCCTTCTAATTTTATGATTAATCAGGATTAGGATTCTTATTTACATAAAGTACACTTTGCATCGTGTGTTGGACACTATGAAGAATGTGGACAATTACGATGTTAATAAGAACAACAACCTTTGGACTCTACTAAAATGGAACAGCTAAACCATTCTTGTTACTTAGTGACAATGCAAAAAAACAAAACAAAAACCACTGCATACAATATAAAATAGGGTTAAAACTTATTACATATATTAAATGATACCTTCTGATTAGCAATATTAAAAAAAATTAGCTTTCTTATGATTTTGTTAAAGTAAAAAGAGTTATTTTTTACTGTATTACCAGTGCTGGTAAGCACATTGAAATTACATGCAATATTTTTGAATTAAAAATAAAAACTCTATATGGAAGTTTTAAAAGAATGTAGCAAAACATAAAAATCAGTAACTGAAATATACAGCAAAGGTAAGAGTTATATTTTTTTCTTCAAAAATGCATCACAATTAAATCTTTTTGAACTTTAAAGCTGTAAATTCATACAAATATCACATATAAAAATAAGACACTTTATTTGCAAAAGTTGCACTATCTGTAGAAAGTTTCGAAGTTTTTCAAACTATTTCAGGCAGTAGTTTTTTTTTTTGCAATGCAATAAAAAAGAACAACAACAAACAACAGGTAAATTGAACTGACACACCCAGGCCTGATAGTTATTACCATACTACTAGAAATAAATTATTGGAGTAGCTATCACTTATAAAAATATCAGCAAAATAATTACAAAACTATGTCCCCATTAACCCTTTCCATTAGATGTATTTAAATTCACTGACTTCAAGCAAAACAATTACTCTAAATGGTCCTATCATATCCGTTACAATTTATTTCATGATTATATGTAGTTCATTGAACTGTTCAAAATTGATGGGAGCTCTCATCCAAAAGAAAACAATCTGTCCAAGTATACCCCCCCCCCCCAGTTCTTAGTTTCTGAGGGCTAAATATTCCCCCATTTCTAAAATTGTAAATCCTAAAAACGAGAATCCTCACGTTCAATTATATAACTATTTTTGAAATGTCAGCCACATCAGAGTATCTAGGAATAACTGTCTAATACAATAAAAAAGGACTGAAACATGTCTCCACTCAAGCATAGTTCTGTCTATTATATTTAGAAACATTACACCCACACAGAAGAATGTGACAACTTTCATTAACAGACTTAGATAGAAAAACTTGTATTTTAACTTGTAATAATTAAGAATATTACACCTGCTAGGAAGATGTGAGAATTTTATTAATAGCAGGATATAAAGAAATCATGTATGACTTGAGATCAGGTAAGACCAATTGTTTTAAAATAACAAAAATATAAACATTTTCATTACATACCCTACACAATGTTTTCTTCAAAGATATGAGTAATAAATACTATATAGATTTCTATATCTATTATAAGTAGTTATGATATAAAAAATTTAAAGCAAGTCTACCAATTGGCTGTCAAATGTATTCTTTTATGCAAATGTTTGGAACTTGCACTTAGTATTTTGTTGCTCTCAGTTACTTGCTGCTGTTGGCCATGTTTTACCTTCCAGTAAAATGAAGCTTATTTAAAGTTTTGTACTGGATCTGGAAATTACTTTCCAGACCATATTGTATTTTGTTTATTTTTTTTGAGCGATCATATAGTATTGAATAGAGATAAAGGTTTAGTGAATATTTCTGCAAGAATGTGGATTGATCTCCTTTAATTGGTTTAGCGTGAATGTATGAAAAAATAACATTCAGGTCAATGACCTACTAACAAGCTATAAATACTTTGGCAATTGTCTTGTAATTCACTCCTGAGGATGACGTTGTAATGTCGATACATGTAGAGTCGTCAACTTTTTGAAGGCCATAGATAGGCCTAAATAAAATGTTTTTAATTATGTACCAGTTTAACGTTGAGTATTATTTATGATTTTAACTTTATACACAAGTGCCAAAATACTATAAATATACATATGTGTAATATCTAGATTTTTTGCTTAATTAATTTTAGCTTGTATTTGCTTTCTTTTCTTCATTTATTAAGTTTGAAATGAGTATTTTTGTGTTTTATTATTTCTAACGATTCACAAATATTATTACCTATTACACTTTTGATTCACGAATATTATTACCTATTACACTTTTAGGGCCATTATTAAGTATTTTTACAATAAATGTAATAAATATGTCTTTTACATTAATTTCTCATTAATTTTAATAAAATATATGTCTGTTGATAATCTTCAAATTGAACTAAGCTTATTGGATATATTTCTGTGATGTCAGTAACTGACGTAGCTATTGCTATTTTTATCAACAGCTTGATGTAATTTTTAGTATTCTTACTAATAAGCTGAAGTATTTACATTTTTAACAAATAATGAGCAACCTAAATGATTTCTTACTTTGTACCACAGGCTATGTAAGACTGTTTCTGCTGCTGGTAACCACAGTTTCCATACTGATAGCCTCTCTCATTGTCTTTGAAACATTGTAGAGATCCCATTTGACTGTCGCCCCACAATCTACGACACTGGTCATTGTGATCACGACATTGAGCATGATAGCAATACGCCTGTTAAATAATTAGATAAATTATTAATAGAAGCAGATTGTCATAAGAACATCAGCAGCTAAGACTGGTGTGATAAAAATATTAAAGTCCTGTTTCCTTCATGCGTAAATTCATTTAACATTAGTAATGAAAATGTACCAAAGTACACATGTTCAAGCTTATGATGACATCAGTATTTCTTTAATTCTAAACAGACAGTCCAATTCTAATTATTTTACTCAACATAATGAACAATAATCGTAAATATAACCTTCATTAAGTAATTGTTTTTCAAACCTGCAATAATTAGTATATGTAATCTGTTCCATGGAATCAACAAAGACTAGTGATGTATGTAACTTGTTTATGACTTTATCAGAAGTTATCAACCACAAAGAAATCTGTTCCACTGAACTGACAGAGACTAGTAACATAGGTAACCTGTCTATTTAACTGTCAGAAATTATCAACCATAAAGAAATCTGTTCCACTGAACTGACAGAGACTAGTAACATAGGTAACCTGTCTATATAACTGTCAGAAGTTATCAACCATAAAGAAATCTGTTCCACTGAACTGAGACAGTAGTAACAGGTAACCTGTCTATATAACTGTCAGAAATTATCAACCATAAAGAAATCTGTTCCACTGATTTGACAAATACTAGTAACTTAGGTCACCTGTCTATATAACTGTCAGAAGTTATCAACCATAAAAAAATCTGTTCCATTGAACTAACAGAGACTAGTAAGTTAGGTCACCTGTCTATATAACTGTCAGAAGTTATCAACTATAAAGAAATCTGTTCCACTGATCTGACAGACTAGTAACTTAGGTCACCTGTCTATATAACTGTCAGAAGTTAGTAACCATAAGAACATTTTGTCCATTGAACTGATGTATATAAGCTACTTAGGTTATTTCTGTTTGCCAAAACTACAGTTTGAATATAATAATTGTATCTGTCCTCCTAAAATGAAACAGATTACATTTGTGTAATAAAATGAAGGTCATTTTAAGAAATTTAACTTATTTATGCATTGAGAGACAACAAAGACTTTCTTAGTTCCCACATGATTATAACTTCTATAGCTATTCTGAAGAGAGTCTTTGTCCCAGGAACATCTGGTGTAACGTTACAATGTGAAATCAAGACAACTTACTTTTCCATTTCCACATTCTCTTCCATCTTGTACTGAAATGTCTTCTGGGCAAAATTCAGATTCTCCATTGCAGAATTCTGGGAGATCACACTCTGATCTTGACATGCGACAAATGGTTGCTGGTGGTTTTAACTTTTGGGAACAAAATTCAAAACTTGACAAATCTTAGGTACTACGAAAGTAGAAATACATTTAACTGAAAAAACTGGAATATATATAAAATAGAATGTGAATGTGGAAGTATTTACATTGGTCAGACAAAACGTAATTTAAAATACCATTTAAATGAGCATAAGGGATATGTAAAAAATGAAAAAAACTGAAAATTCATCCATAGAAACAGACATACCTTTACTACATTTAATGTAAAAATA